ATACGCTTCCTTTCAACGTGTCCGCCAAGGCCCCCAGCGACTTGGGCGACAAAGAGCCCCATGTTGGCCCCCCTTCTTTCCCTCCCTCCTTCCCTCCCTCCCTCCATCCCTCCTTCCCCACCTCCAGCGCATCCGCCACGAGCCGAGCCCAGAGCCGACGTGGCAAGCGCGGCTCTCGAATCGTCTCACCCGCTGCCGTTGTCGTCAGTAGAGGACAATAGGTGCCCACGTGCTTCCGAGCATTCGCCGTCTGCGCCCGCTGCAGGCGTTGGACAACGTCCGGGTATGCGAATTCGGGGAGCCAGTCGATGCGAAAGGAGGCCTGGTAGTCGAGGAGAGCAAGGAGACGGGCAGCGAAGGCGGAGAGGCGGAGGATGGCAGGACCAGAAAGCCCGGTGTGCGTGATGACCAGCGGCCCGCGTTGGGCGAGAGGGCTGAGGGTGGTTGGAGTGGATGATAGGACATTGCTGCTGCTGCTCTCCATGACAGCTCCCTTCCCCATCCCCCTGATACCCGCTTGCTTCAACCACGCTTTCCACTGCCGGCCCTTGGCTTTCGGGTCTTCATCGTTGGCCCCCTGCCCGGGTGCCCCCCCAGTTAAGGTAACTTCCACACAGGGGAGACTGATCCCTTCCAGGCCCTGGAGCGGCGACGGGGTTCGCGTCCGTCGGTCCGCCAGCTCCAGCGTGAACAAGGAAGGGATGGGGTCCACGATGCTGTGGCCCATGCGGCGAGCGAGGGCGTGGCCGTGCCTGCTCGAGCCCGTGGCGAGGACCAAGGCCTCGCAGGTCAATGTCCGCGTGGGCCCGCGAGTCCCCACCGCAGTCACCACCAGCACGCTACGCCCCCCCTTGCCATTGCTCTGGATCTCGTCCCTGTCTCCCACTGCCCGAGTCCCCTCGACAGGCTGGACCTGGATATCCACGACTTTCCAATCGACCCTCACCTCCACCCCGGCTTCTCTGGCCCCGTCTCTCAGGCAGGCGACGATCGCCTCGGAGGAATCCGTCGTGGGGAACATGCGGCCGTCCGCCTCCGTTTTCAACCTCACGCCCCGTGATTCGAACCAGGTCAATGCCTGGGCAGGCCCGAACACAGAGGTCAAGGGGCCCAGAAGCTCGCGTTCCCCCCGGGGGTAGGCTGCCACCAGTTCGACAACGGCTTTTGACGCGTCGTGCATGACGTTGCAGCGACCGCCCCCACTGATCCGCACCTTGTGGAGGAGTTGATGAGAGCCTTCCAAAAGGAGGACTTGGCATGTGGGAGAGGGGGTTTGAGGAGTTTGCGGCCGTGGGTGTTGATGTCGCATTAGGCACTCCCCGGCCTCGATGGCAGCCATGAATCCTGCAGGACCGCCGCCCACAACGATGATCCGTGGCCTATCTGGCAAGAGGTCTATCTTCTCTTTCGAACCGTCCTCTAGCTTGGTTGCAAACCGCAGAAGACGACGCTGTGGGTTTACCGAGCCCGACGGGAATGAGGATGAGGGGTGGCGGGAGGGTACACCGAACGCCAAGGGACGCTGTGTCATTGCTGGTGTCCCGCTAGATACCGCATGACATGCCCAAGAAGGACATTGAGAAGCGATGAACGACAACAATACGACAAATCTAAGCCAGCGCAACCGTATCAGCTGATTCCCTGCTTGAGAACACGGTGGGAATAATAGCAGTAGACGGTGGCTGCTTCTGTTGCCTCCCATATATGAGGCTGCTGCAGTAGCCACCATCAGCGGCAATTTTCGAAACAATACCTGTAGTGTCAATGCGCTGTCAGTCAATGAACGGTATGGGTCAAAATTCACTTTGCTTGACGTGGTCAAGGCGACGTGGAAGATCGATGACGACCGAATTGTCGACACGTACATCTTTTTCATCCCTGCCTCATCTCTGTAATGTTTCTCATTCATCAGATCTCCCTCTACGTAGTAGATGATGTCTCAAACTCAGTATTTGACGTTGTATTTGGGGGCTTGTGCACTCTTTTGTTGTTTTTCAGGGGGGACAGCGATGCTGCTCGTATCGCCAGTCAGCTTCAATCTCCTCTACCGTCCGTTCTCACGCACGACCCAAAAATACAACTCACCTTCCTTGCATGATGCGCACCCCATCCAGGGAGCCTAGATGAGAAGGAAAGAAAGCCATCGTCACCCTTCACAGTTAATTCGTTGTTTCTTGTCGGCGTGCTGTGTGCCGCAACTCGATGGACAATTATCGATTAGCGCCCTCGTCTCCCGCTCCTCTTACGAAGTCGACAGTCACGAAAAGATCTCCTCCTGAGCTCGGTCAACTTTCTCCACACCATGTCGAGAGAGAATCCCGTACCATCAATGCCCGGAAGCAGGTGCTTGCGGGCTCGATTGCTGCATTTGTTTCAACGCTAGTTTGCCATCCCATCGATGTCCTGAGGACAGAGCTGCAGACCACGCAAGAGACTCTCACGGCCCGCGAATGCCTCCGCCGTATTTGGCGGGCAGAAGGAATGCAGGGCTTCTATAAAGGTTTGAGTGCCCCGCTGGCAGCACAGGCTGTCTACAAAGCGTGAGTAGATACGATACTTATTCCGAGACAGGGTGTAACCTCCCCGCCCTCTTTGAGCGATCGCGTATGTCTATATGAATCTCTCCATGGACCCGTGGTTGTGTCCCCCAATATGTGCTTAAGCCACCAGCCTTTTTCATTCTTTCTTTTCCCACGAGGCACATGCTGAGATCGTCCACTCGTTCGACCTTTTTGTACCACACATCTCCGCTCCAAACCTATCTCGAGAAAAACCAACTCACGGAGAGATTGAGACTCTCGCACGGTGCCACGATGTGACCAAGAGAAAAAAATCCAAGAAGGACTCACTCCTCTCTCGCACCATCCTATTTTCCCTGTACTTCCCATCTTCCCCCCTGGCAGCATCATTTTCGGAACCAACTCCACGGCTCAACAGCTTCTCCTTGCCCGCACTAAGAAACGCCCCCGCCCTCCCTCCTCCAACCTCTCGCCGCCATGCCTAAGCTACCCGGAGATCTTTCTGTGCGGCGCCCTTTCGGGGGGAGTGAACGCCCTGGTCGTGACTCCGGTGGAACTGGTTCGCAACCGACTGGTTGTGTCCCACGGGGTGTATTCAGGCCCCCGGGACTGCGTGGGGCAGGCATGGAGAGGAGGGGGGTTCCGGGGGCTGTGGAACGGCTTGCTCCCCACCCTCTGCAGGGATGGGCCCGGCGTGGGGGCCTGGTTTTTGGCGTTCGCGGCGGGGAAGGACGGGTTGCTGGCGTGGAAGAAATCGACCAAGGGCCTGAGGGGAGGGAAAAGGGAGGCGGGAGAGGAGAAGCTCGGGGTGGGGGGGCTCCTTTTGGCGGGATCGGGGGCAGGAGTGGCCTTCTGGACGGTGGCTTTGCCGTTTGACACGGTCAAGAGCGTGATGCAGGTGGCGGGGGTAGGGAGCGAGGGAAAGAGGGAGGGCATGG